TGTTTTTTGTTGGGGTTTTTTGCATTTTTTTCTAGACTTTTTACCGTCCTATAATCAGATCGTGACGTCGATTATGACACCTGCTCTTGGCCACGAAAAGCTAGATTTCTAGATTTAGATCTCGACAAAAACAGCGAAATGTGAAATAAAAAATTGATAATTTTCATGTTCTACGAAAGAGTTTAGACTCACTGGTATTACATGTCTCTAGAATCTAGTACTGACATCTCTGCTTCTTTGCTTTGTGTTCGTGTATTCACATCTAAAGCTACATTTTAATGTTAGTTGGAATAAATGTTTCATGAGATACTTTCCCGATTATTTTGGCAGTTGAACATATATATGAATTCAGGATTTGTTTTCTTTCACAAATTCAGTGTTGCCGCCTCGAGTAAGATTCTTGTGTGACATCTCCAAGCCCAATCTGTTCCCGTCTCACTTTGATTACCGTGTCAAAAATGTCAGCCTACGCCCCTGCTTGTCAATAGTCAATAGATAGGTCAGGTCGAGAACTGGGCTTTCAAATGGATAAGAGTTAGAAGAGTGCTGAGTGGAGAGGAATTTCCCTTTGACAGAGAGATAAAAAGGTGGAGAATGTAACTAGATTTTAGATAGATCTATAGCCCCCATTTCAAATAGATTGATTTAGAAAGCAAAAAATGAGGGGTTATCGTAGGGTTTGACATGGGAACAGGAAACAGCAGGCTGTCTGTAATAGTCGTGATTCACGAAGACTTTGAGGCTGGTATTTTACTTTTGATCAAAACTTGAACGCTTGAGTTTGAATCTCACTACTCTACTTATCCGGCAAGACAAAAACAGATTAGATTTAAATTTGATCTCTTGGTTGCCACCTTGTCTTCAACCTTGAACAATTAATTCTAATATAATGCTTAGATTCTAGGTCAGTTCATGTGACCTACGTAGATCTAGATCTAGGTTTAAACAAAGTAGAAGTAGGAATGCCCTGAACCTAAACGCGGGCGACCCATGCCGAAAGTTTAATCCTAACCCCTTGGCATTAAATTTTGATCCCCTATTGCATGTACACTCTCTTCCTTCCCATTTAAGAAAGAATTAAAGATATAAAAAATTGTTCGGCTTGTAAAGAGTTGTGTTAGCAGGCTATTCTGGGTATTTTAGTCTGTTATATATAGTCTTTAGTACACATTTAAAACAGTAGCCTTCCATTGTCTACTATAATTTGGACCGACCTTTTTCATTCACTTTTTTACCCTGCCCATTTCTATCAATATTTGCTTTTGTGTTATGTAGTTTAAAAACATATGCAGCGTTTTAGATTTGAAAGTCAACTGCTAGTGTTGTAAGAAACAAAATTGAGGAAGGCTGTGTGCCCTGGACGTTCTTTCTTGTTTTCTTTTTCTCCCATTGAAATGATGTTTTCATAACGCTTATCAGTAACTTACACATCCAAGTGGTGCCAACTGGGAATAGCTACAACAACTGATTAGATAATTAGTTGTTTAAATCATTTTAATCTTACTTTCCTCTATTCAATCCATTTATAGTTAGTAATGGTGTTTATCAAGTTAGGTGGGTCGCTTGGAATTGTTTTTCTACTTTGTCTGATGATGAAAGAAGCCAAGGACAACATTATTTTTTAAATCTTCTTTTGACCTTAAAAAATAACTTAAAATTTGACATTGCAAATCGGACGGCAGCTTCTATTTGAACATTTTACCACTGCACTCAACTCAAACAAGGCAGCCCCCCCCCCGGGGGGGGGTATCACGCCCGAGGTGAGATGAGGCGGTGGTATGAATGTGGCACAGCGGGCAGTGTTACTGACTAGAGTGTCCTTAGGCCATTCCCAAAGGGGGGACATTAACCCATTCTTATGCACAGTAGAATTGTAAATGGGCTGATTCATCGATGTCATGCTCATAACTGTGCCTTAACTGCAACGTGAAACTGCTGCTTTTTTCTTTCCTAATCCTTACTATCGTCATTTTCCCTCTACTTCTTTTGTATGTTTGTCTCGCTCTTGTAACCCACTGTTTCCAGGGTAGCTTGATAGTCGAAGCTAGAGAGGTGAACAACTCTACTTTTTTTTAAATCTGGCAAAGGGATGGCATTACACGTCGTTTGTCACAGTTCTCTTCCCCCCCAAAAATGTTAGCTTTCTTCAGTTTCGTAGGGTCTATAATATAGGGCCTGCACGCTTTCCAGGTAGCCCGGCTCACACCCTATATATGGCCTGCACGCTTCCATGGTTAATTTTGCCCAGGCCTACGCATGATTTTGAAGGGTATCGTCAGATTTCGACAGTTTCGACATCAAGCAGTACCCCTATACTCTGTACCTAGAGCGATAGAGACAGAGAGACCTAGCTATGGAGAAAGAAAGAGCTTTAAAACATTGGGAAGTCGGGGGAAAGGAGGGATAAGGGAAAGACCAAATATTTCCTTATCAAGACTTAACTACCGTTGTAAACCCTCTACGATCATGGATCCTGTTAAAAAGCAATTGATGTTTTCAAACGGTCTAACATGAGCAAAAAGTGGCATTTTGTGATGGTTTACTCTGGTTGTTGTGTATGTGTGTGTTTTTTTTACCTCAACCATTTCCCCGGCCCTCGCCCACCCTTACCCTTGAAAAACCCACCCGAAACAAATGACAAAGTACTCAGACTTAAACCTATATTAATAAAACGAATTTTTCTCTTTCCTTTCCAGCTTTGATGATAATTGGTCTAGAAATTCTACCCGAGTCCACTTGGGACGAATTCCGTGACTCTCGACGCATCGAGACTGTGAGCACCTCCTCCCGCTTCACCTCTCAGTAAACCCATCTGTGAGCGATCACTATCCCATCGTTTCGGAATCTGTTGGCCCTGGACAGCCTTAGAGACGCGCCCGGAGAAATTCGAAAGAGTTATCTCCTCTGTATCCCCAACGCTTGATTTGTCGACGTCACGAGAGTGACTGCTTCGTTCAAGTAAAAGTGTCGCTGATTCAGAGTCAAGGGCAACACGTCACATAGATAGGCTCATTTATTTGCTTGTTATTCTTTGATTTATCTTTTTTAAGTCTGATCAAATACAAACTGAAAATGTCGTCTCCATCCTGGAGAAGAGAGGAAGAGCAACGGACCCAAAGGGAATATTCTTGGAATTACGCAGCTGAAGGAAGAGGTCCCTCTCTGTCCGAGAAGCCATCTGTCTACGCTAACTATCCAACGCCCTCTGACGGCATAGGCAGGCAAAATGTCATTCCTAACTATACACCCATCGAGCGAACGTCGCCAATGTCTTTCAAAGCCCCAACCTCGAAAAACAAAAAGATTGTCATCAAAGAAACACCCCAACCCTCTCCTTCTACGTATAATAAATTGTCTTCGGCTGTAGGGTACATCACAAGTCCTGTCAAGTACATAACCTCAATGTTTTCAAGTCGATCAGAAGAAGCGACCGCTGAACCTGCCAAAAAGAAGATTGATGTCATAACAAAGGAGAAGTTGAAGGATGCATCAGTACTATCTGTCCCCGTTGAGCAGGCAAAAGACAGGAAAGAAAAGAAGGCAGCACCTACGATTACTATCGGTGATGACAAACTTAAGGCACCCACTGAAGTCACAACATTAGATGGCATCAAAGACCTAAAAGCGAAGCTCGAGACAGTTTCAAATAGTAAAGGAAAACGTAACAGTGGTTCTGGTATGAGAAAAAATTCGAATCAAGGAAACAAACGTGCAGTTTCTCCCCATGAAAACAAGAGTAGGAAAACCTCAGTGTCTCCTCATGAAAACAGAAAACCCATGCAGGTGAAGCAGATAAAGATTGAACAGTCGAGGAATAAATCTTCCTTTCGGATTAAATCACCCGATGCACTAGAAGCACAAGAGAAGTTGGAAGCGAGTTTCCAAAACCAGCAGGACTCTTACAGACGTAGAACCCTTCAAAAATATGTCTCCTCGAAATCAAGTGATAGGCGGGCTAATCAGGAAACAGACGAGAATCTTGAAAACGGTTCAAATACTCAGTTTGGCAAATGGAACCATATCCAACGCCCTCGCCCCGTGCGTATCACCTCGAGAAAGCCAGAAAATCCTACAGCTCAGACTGGTGACGTAATAGTGAAAAACGAAGTATTTAATCATTCTGTGCTACCAGTACAAACAGACATAAGAAAATCTACCCGGAACGCACCTGACCGATCCAACTCAGCTTCGTCACACTTTACTCCAATTGAGCCTGTTGTACAAGATGAAACTGTCAAGAGATCTACGTCTATAACGCCGAGCAAGATAGGTGGGAAAACATTTGCAGCTTACAAGGAAGCTTCCAAAGCAACACCACCAGTTACCTCACAAGGGGAAACACAAGTTGTGCAGACAAAACCATCTGACGAGTCGCCTTCAGCTGCCCCTGAGAAATCTGCCGATGGTATCAACCATTTGAACGTTTATTCAGATGAGCGCAGAACTTCACCACTCAAAATTAAACCTCAAAAGAAAGATAGACAGAAGAAAGGCGATAATTCATCAGTGGAAACGAAAAAGTCCCAACCATCAGCAGGTTCTGGTAACGCCACTCTTAACTCAGCCAAAGGCACCAGCCCAATACACAATCTCAAACTAGAAAACAAAACTACTTCCTTAGAAAACGAAAACAACAGTCCAGACGTAACACCAGTATCTAAAACACCTCCGCAAGAAAGGTCAAGATCAGTATCCAAATCGCCAAACAGGAAATCCAAGTCTTCTGTCCGAAAGTCATCTCCTTTGCCTATTCGGAAATCGTCTCCTTCGCCGGTACAGAAATCGTCTGCTTCACCAGTAAACAAATTGCCTGGTGTATTGGAAAGGAAACCTATCGCGCCAAAAAGGAAAAGATCAACATTTCGATCACCTGGTCCAAGGAGATCTCGATCTCGGTCTGCCTCATCGGCCTCGCCAGTGAATAAATTCTTTCCCAAGGGATCCAACTCAAAACTTGTGAAGTCTTTCCAAACCAAGCAGTCGCAGCAGCAACAGTAGCAGCAGCAGCAGCAGCTGAGAAATAGACCGTTTAACCCAAATCGACCCACCCCGACGGTTATACCTTCGCCAAAAATAGACGAGTCCAAAAAAATGTTGATCCTCAGACAAAAGAAACTTCCGGCGACAAACGAAGAGCCACCACCCTCAGAGCCAACGAGAATACCTTTGACTGCGAGCACGTCGTCGCTGGAAAAAGACCCTGAGTCAAATATTTTGTCCTCTCAAACAAAATCCGACGTGCAAGAATCGGAGGAGAGTTCGGAAAAGGAACAGGTGCAGGACCCTGCCCCCGACAATGTCTCACTTATATCTTCGTCTACTGACATTGAGCAAGACACTGAGAGTCTTTCTCCAAGCATCCCGTCCTGCTCACCGACCGAGAAGAAGGAATTGGTTGAAACTGGTGATGAAGAATGCATAAGAAAAACCGGTGTTTCAGACTCTGATGAACATGTTTGTCGAAAGGAAATAGTATTTTCTCCTAAAAGGGGACCGGTGATAAAAGGGAATCACTTGGATAGTTCTGCGTATGATAGTGCTCCCCCTACTATGCCCTCTTTTAGCCATAAATTCACCAACTTTAAAAACATCCTGAGTACAGAAAACCATACAGAATCGGTTCTTCCAGATGTGGAAGCGAACAGGTTTCAATCTCCTTGGAATGATACGTCTTCTGAGAAACCCTCCAGATTCTCCTCTCGTTTTCCGAGCAATCCTGAACCTAGAGTTTATCCTGCACCTTCCGAATATTTACCCACCATCAAGTCGCAGCCTCCGAAACCAAGCCCAGCTGATCCTGAACCCGTCACTTCAACCTCAGATTCCCTTAGCACCCCGCCTCAGAGCTTGGACGCATCGGACAACCTCTCAGTGCAGAGTCAAAACTCAGCAACTGATCTCGACATCTCTCATTCAACCTTAGCCAACGATCAGTCTGCTTTGAGCGCAATGGATGTAAACAGTTCTCTCAGTCAGTATTCAGGAAATCCTGTAGATTTTGCTGCTGCCGCCACTATGTTAGGGGAAATCCCATGAAAGGTTTAAGAAGAGATTTCAAGTCCCAAAGAACCTTCTAAAAAGCGAGCAACGTGTGATACTGTTCTATAAAGTAGTCAAGTCTAAATGAACACTTGGGAAAAATGTAATCTCAAGAGCTAGAGAAAAAAACCATACTGTAATCGATGACCCATATACGTTCTGACAAACATAACGCAGAACAATTGGAATTATCAAATCTCTGAAACAAGCGCTATACTGACGATCCCCGAAATGCCTCATAGTTAGACGTATAGTGGGGGTTTCCTAAATAAAGCCATTTGCAAACCAGATTATTGAGACTTCGCACTTTGTAATGATTCAATTTCTCGTTATTTGGCATTTATGACCAGTTCACTGTTTGTTGATAATAATAACAGTTGGATTCTTTCTCCACTCTGGGCAGAGAAAAACATTTCAAAAATTGCAGCTACTGGAAATCTTCTTTTTTTTGTGAGACTTGTGTTACATAGGGGACATACACAACTCGCTTATTCATCATAACGACAGAAGTACTCTGAATAAACGTCTCCCTTTAGATTCTCTCTAATCTGGCAGAAACGTAACGCAGATTATGGCTTCAGAAGAAAACGGAAAGTGGCCTCATTGCTTGACAAAATCTGACAATCTGAATTCCAAACACAAAGACCGTGTGCAAACTCAAAATCAACCTCCGATCAGTCAGCTTTATAACAAATTGAAAGAATCAGGAACATACTTAGGGTCGGCAGCTTTTCAGTATACCAAGAAGGCGGGCACGAGCTTGAGGACAATTAGAGATACATTGTTTGAAAAGATGCCTACCCAGAGAAGTTTGGAGCAGCAAAATGTCAGCTGCCAAACCCCTTCTTGTGGGCCTACGTGCTGTGATTCCGGAGATGAATGGCCAGATTGGACACCGCATCCTGTGTATCCCGTATCTTCCAATCCTCCACAGTGCATTCCTTGCTCGTGTCCTGTTAGCCTGCCTGGTCCCTCTCCCCCACGATCAGAGAGTTACTTCTTTAGCACTCAGAACGCCCCTGCAACAGTGTACGTGTATCCACTTCCGCCTCCCCCTCCCCCTCCTCCCCCTCCCCCTCCTCCTTTTCTCCCTCTTTATCCAGTGATTATCCCAGACGATCGTCATCGTGATCATGCTAACAGCAATGATGTCCCGACACCGTCCTTTGCCTTTACTACAGCACAATTCTGTCCAGAAGTTAAGCAGCCTCGAATTTCTGACACGTTACTCTGTGGGAGGAGTTCAGATCAATTGATGAAAGAACAACCTGTTTTCCAAACTACAAGAGGTCATGACAGTCAGCCAGAGAAAAAAGTATCTCACTCTTCCAAACGGATTTCGAACAACCGTGAACAAAGCAAAGGCCTTAAAAGAGTGAGTTACAAAAATCTGCTAATTTTCTTTGTTTTTCTTCGTAGATTTTAAGTTCAAGTCTCACTCAGTTGACTCAGTAGAGAAAGGTTAAAACTCAAAAGAACCTTGGTTCTGAATTGATTCAAACGAATTCGTCCTCGCTATATTTAGCATTTTCTTGTATCAGCTTTTTACTGTTTGAAAGATTGTTTGCATTTCATAGTATTACCTCCTCAGTTAGTTTGTTCTTATCATTTTAAAATAATTTAGATACTTGCACCTATATATTGACAATTCTCTTTATGAATACTGTACTGGTTTCTGGTTTCTTTCCGTTCAAGATTTTTTGTCGTCGTTTTATTTGCTCATTTGTGGTTAATACTAGGAACCTTTTGAAACCTAATCCTATTCCTCCGCTTTCAACCTCTGCAAAATAGATTGCATAAAGTGCTGGAACGGCAGAACGAGATGTGCAAAGATTTTGAAGAACGTGGTTATTAACCAATACTAATAAGGTAATTGGCCAGTGGTTTGAGATGGCTGAAGTCTTTCTTAAAGCCACGGTTACACGCAACGATAAAATGTATCAGATTAGTCGTATGCGAGAACTGTCCGTTTTAACGACTAGTGTTGCCTGTTTACACGTTCCAATTTATAGATCTAGTCCAGTTTTCTTTCAATTGAGGACATTCCTCGTCATAAAGCCACCACGTCTGTTTGCGACGACAGCGATTTGCATGCACTCTATGAGAAGGTTAAGAACTCGGGACCTAATGAATGAAAGTCGAACACTGTACCTCTAGATCACGAGAGCCCCACCCCCACCCCCTCCCCTGTACATTTTGGTACTGCAGAACAGTGTCTTCAGAAAAGGTTGGCCCTACTGTACCGTGTTGTGTGTAGTGTGTAGATAGACACAGAGAAGCTTTGACTTGACTGCAGCAGATGTGCAACGCACCGAGTGACCTTGATGTACTTCACCATTGACGATCAATTAGATAATAAATTAATTACTTAAATTTACATAATTTCACTTCAAACCAGGTTCGCTGTGATCTAATCTGCTTATTTTGAGATGCTGATTCCGAATATGAAATCCGTTTTAAGATACGAAAATTATGTTTAAAAATTTGCGCCCTAAGCTTAACCCTATCTGGCGGCAAATTATTTCAAAGTGATCGCACGAAACATATCATGCAACGCTTGATTTCTTGACTGAGTCTTCAAACCGTCGTCCAATCGTCCAAATTTTGTACAATTTTGTGATTACACCTAACGATGTATCGTATGATCGCTAGATAGTCAAGTTTTTGTACAATTTATCGTTACCTGTAACCCTGCCATTAGTGTTATTTAGCCAGTACCATTTTTGTCTGTCATGTTACTGTGGCAGAGTTAGGTGTATCAGCCAGTGGATGCATCGATATAGATCTAAGGTTTTTTTGATTATCTCAAACAAAAACTCACTGAAAGAGAACTGAAGGGAAAAGTTAAGCAATATCGACCCCTGTTAAGGAAAGTGACACCTTGGTTAAGTGTGGGGACCATTCCAATCCCAAAAAAGATAAATAAGTAAATAGAAACCCGACTACTGTCATCCAGGGAGCTCTTTTTTTAAAAACGCGCTTAGAAAGGCCGAACGTTCAATTTTTCATTTATACTTATACATATCTATTGACCATAGATGACACGTGTTAACACTGCTTCTGTTACAGTTACAAGACTCCACCCCCTCCCCCCACCCCCCTCCTTTTCAGCGGTCAACGTAAAACTCCTTGTATGATCCTAGTATCTCATTTCAAATTATAATAGTCATACTATTAATGTGTTGTTAGTTTCCTTTGTACCAATCGCGTGGTTCTGCATCATCTGCATGTCTTTGTTTATGCCAGTTTGTGATGGATCCACGAAAACGATAAAAACTAATGTAACTTTTTAGTTTGAAACTTACGAGTTCCTACTTGTCCATAATCAGACCAAGAAAGAAGACGCGAAGTGGAGTGCAGATGACCAGCCCGGAGGGTATACGTTGAGAAACCCATTTCGCAAATTTCACAACCATGTAAATGTAAGCAATATCCTAGGGATGATTGTTAGATCATTGGACTGCTGCAGTTGAGTGAGCGTGAGTCACTGAGTGTATGTGCGTGTGTATATGTGTGTGTGTGAGTGAATGTGTGTGCTTTAATGTGTGTGTGTGTGTGTGTGTGTGTGTGTGTGTGTGTGTGTGTGTGTGTGAGTGTGTGTACGTGCGTGCGTGCGTATGTGTGTTTGTGTGTGTGGGTGTGGGTGTGTTTGAGGGGAGTGTGTGCTTGTATGTATATGTACATATTATGTACGTGTGTGCTTCATTGTGTGTGAATGTGTGTGTGTGTGTGTGTGTGTGTGTGTGTGTGTGTGTGTGTGTGTGTGTGTCTGTGTGTGTGTGTGTGTGTTTAAGTCTAAACGTTAGATTTTTTCTCGAGTGCACTGCCTGAACTGGACATTCTGTCCACTTCAGGTGCAGTGTATGGGAGACAACTAGGAATTCCTTGTGTTCTTTTTTTTATGGTAGTTTAACAGATGTACGAATAAGGACTACAACAAACACAGTGTTTCATGGAATTAATTGGCTTTCTCTTCGAGGTATACTTGCGTCTCTTTCTCTGTAAATGCTCATGTTTGTAATATAGTGGTATTTCATTCTGGCATCGTACCTATTATAATTAATTCACATGCAGGGATGTTATAAATATTCTAAGGTACTTGTTCAGAATACAATCAGCGAAAGGATTCAGTAACGTGCATCGTCCAAAAACGTCTTGAGTACTTTGAAAGCGTTTACGGGGTTTTTTTTCTAATTGAAACACGTTTTTAAAAGTGGTAGGCTTAATCAAAATTCTGGAGCATTTGCTGTTTGTTGACTTGTGTGATGCCTATCTGCTGTTGGATAGGCAGATGTTATTATTTCATTTTTTCCCCTTTAGCGTGTTTTTGCTTCTATTTATTTGAAATAGCAAAACAATTTGTTCACGCCCAAATCATACAGAAACAGAAGCCTAAAGTGACGTTTACATAAAATATGTTGCACCAATAGAGCCGTAAATCTTGAAATGTGACAAAGCCATTACTGTAATGTTTCTTTTCTTTGGGCATTCTCCAGGTGTGTACCGGCCAACCCAGCACATCTCTGTAAGTAATCTGAGAAGTTTATGGTTATTGTCGTGCTATGATAATGATGATGATGATGATGCTGATGATGATGCTGATGATGCTGATGATGCTGATGATGATACTGATGATGATGATGATGATGATGATAATGATGATGATGATGATGATGATGATGATGATGATGATGATGATGATGATGATCGATTTCTAACACCGTTGTGTTTGTGTTCTTTATTAAGCTCACATGCTGGCAAATATTCCCTGCTCCTTTTTCATAAATTCCATTGAACTTTACTCAACCAAATAGTCTAGTGATTCTTCTTCCCTCTGTTCCAGTTTTGAATGTTCAGGAAATAAGTAGTGGGGAATTTATTATTGTTAACGGTACTGTTTTTTGTGGAGTTTATATGAACTGCTTTGGAGCTTGTCAATAATGTGTGTGTGTGTGTGTGTGTGTGTGTGTGTGTGTGTGTGTGTGTGTGTGTGTGTGTGTGTGTGTGTGTGTGTGTGTGTGTGTGTGTGAGAGAGAGAGAGAGAGAGAGAGAGAGGGGGGGGGGGGCAATTTTACACTATACTTCTACAACTGCAGTACTTATATCAACTTCGTTTTTAACCCTTATGGCTTTTAAGGTTGTACATTCTTGTGCCGATTCGTTGTTCTTAATGTCTAAGAACAGATTTGAGCTTGCACCTGAACGGGTTTTTTCAGTACCAAATGGCTGTTATAGCATTAACTTTCTTCTTTTTGTCTGAAACAAACTATTCAAATGGTCTTATCAACTGCAGTTTACAAGAGCAATTTTTGCCGCCGGCCTCAGTGGGCGTTTTATTTCCACATTTTCTTTTAAATCAAAACACCTAGGGTGTCAGTGGAATCTGCATGCGTCAAATTATGGAAGATTTTTATTTTTACTCGTGTGCGTATAAAAATTTCACAATCTTTACATTATTTTTATTTCTCTATGCCCAACCAGGACTTCACTACTCCACCCTCAGTCTCACCTTTGAATTCCTAGACCTTGATTCGATGACCTTATTCTCCCTCTTTAAGAAAAAGCCAAAGTTGGCGGGTAATCTAGTGTCTCCTCTTTTTTGTGTTTTTAACTCTTTTGTAACATCTCTAATTTCGGCATTTATATGACTTTATTGTGTGAAAATGCCGTAAAGCGCCTACTAAAACAAAGTACATATAATCCTGTTCATGCAGACACATTTTTCAATAATTATGTAAATCCAAAAAGCATTGGAGAATATTGTAACATCAGGCAAGTTTGATGGAAAGAGAGGCAGAGGCAGACGGGGAAAAGATACTGTACATGTTGACAACATGGCTAGGAGCATCAAGAACAACACACACCATTGCTGCAACGCAAGACAGATGGAAGTTGAGGTCCCTGATCGCCCACGCCAGTCGGCAAGGCACAGGATGATGATGAATGCCAAGATACTAATAAATGTTTGGATTCTTTTTCACCACAGGAAACTCCCGCTTGAGAGGTCATGCACCCCTGAACCCACGCCGTATTGTCCCTTTACGAACCTGCAGGCCACTGGGAGTGAGACCGTCACCTCAAATCCTTTTCCTAAGAGAAGACAGAGCGAGGAGAAGAAACCTGGGGAAGGCCACAGACCTTTTGTAAATTGTTCAAGTAATGAAGTCAGTAATGCTGATGTTCCCAGAACTTGGAACCAGGCGGATTGCGAGTGTCAGTGCGACTACCAAGTCGAAGACACCCAAGCTACCGTCGAGCGCAGGACTACCGTTATAAAAAGCATTTTCGTTGAGGTGACCAGAACGTCCAAACGAAAAGGTAAAAACAGAAAGAAAATTGGCCTCTCGGTGAGTCTTGACGATAGCGCAGGACCTGAATGTGCTGCTCTAAATTGGAAAACTACTGCCGCTCAGACTAGCGTGATGGAAGAAACAGTAGTTGACTGTACACGTCAGGGTCTCACAGAGACATGTCAAACACAGACAGTGGCAGTGGAATCTGAGGGATTACGGGGAATTGAAAACTCGAACGTGAAAGAGCAAATGGGCAGTAATGTATGCACCGATCAAGCAGTTACAATACTGCAGTCTTCGAAAAGATTATGTAGTTCAGAACACACATTTGAGTTCACCAGAGGAGACGATATTATACCTACAGTGGAAGCTGTCCCCCAAGAAGTTTTAAGTCAAGAAGGCATACTGTCTACGTGTGCGAAGCAAACTTGGCCCCATAAGGAAGCCCCCGATTCGTATGGCCATGGCAGTGTTGCGAATGAGACAGGTTTGAGAAAAGAGAGCCATTTCCTACTTGCAAATTTGACATGTAGGAATTCTCAGGACCAAATAAAGAATTATTTCGTTCCAAACGGAGATGTTTGCCCTTGTAACCCGAATGTTGGTAGCACTTCAAGCATTGAAGCACGGCCTATAAGCATGACCATCTGTGGGAATGAAGTCACAAATGAGGGGTCTACAATTAATATATGTTCCTGTTGGGATGAAACCATTACTGAGGGCTGTACAAATACGCATGCTAAAGGGGAAAAAATCACCAATACGAGCTCTACACAATCCTTAGCTCGCCGTCCCTTAACTCCAATTGCACAGCCAGTAGATGTGTGCGGGTGCAGTGCACGTAAAGATACAAGTATCACTGCGTTCTCCAGAGAGTTGTGTGTGGGTAATACAAACACCGACCCAAGCACCAATTCACTTCCAAGAAATCCATGTGACAACAGCACATACAGGGGTTTACCCATTACTGCGTTCCCTCAAAATCTGTGTACCGACACCTTCTCAACTAACCACTGTTCCTGTAACCCCCCAGCCACTACTGCACACTCTTCACATGCGTGTGTCCCTGACGACCCTGCCGCTTGTCCATGCCGTACGAAGCGGTTTCCTATCCACGAAGCAAACGTCTCTTTTTATTCCAAAAAGATGTGTAATGCCAGTGTTGAAACCACCGATATGGACATCACAAACCTCTTCTGCTGCTCTAAACCAGCCCCGAACACTACAGAAGACAGTGTTCTTCGAGATAGACCAAACTGTGCGCGTGAAACCAAGTTTTGCGTCGGTCACGACACACTTGTTCGAGCACGTCTTAATAATAAGGACAGTAGTGATTGTGACTGTGAAGTAGAGGATACGCTCTCTCGTTATCAGACTGTTTGTCGTGATTCGATGTTAGATTCAAAACGCTCTAAATCGTCATATGTAGGTCGAGATACCTGCACGGGTGCATGCTTCCTCAGAGAGTCAGTCGTAGATCGAACCATACCTGTTGACGTCCTTGCTAAAAGTTACTGTCGCAATAATGATCGATTCACAAACACGAGAGCATACGATGGTACGTCCTTCTGTCCCAAGCCGAATAATGATCTGTGGCCATTGCATTCAAAAAGTAGCTGTGACTCGACCATAGGCAACCAATCAAGCCGTGATGAGGATGAATCACACCTGTTCGTTACTGCTAACAGAATATTAACCTGTGTAAACGGTGATGGCATTATTGGGAAAACAATGCAAACAACAACAGCAGTAAAGAGTGATTTACGATTAGAAGACATTGCCGTGCAAGTAAGCAAATGTTGTTTATTGGATACGGTATCTTTAAGGAAGGACAACATACAAAATAGGAAAAGCAGCCTCGGTGAACGAAAAACATGGATTCGCGAAAGAAATAAAGTAAGCAAGGTCCCGAAGCAAAACGACCACTTAGGAAATACTTCGTGTCCTTGTTATAAAAACGACTCCCTTCTCACATCTAACCCCACCCAACCTCATTCTGAAACTGAGCTCTCAATGTCATGGTCTATTGATTGTGCATCACAATCCAACTCTTGGTCATTGTCTTCTGATCGAGACTTAAATTTTTGTTCGAGCCGAACAAAGAATTTGCAGCGGCAGTGGCGAGACACTGAAGTTTCCACACAGGAGTATTTTCCTAGTTGTTGTCATGACTCAAATACATTACCTGAAGCACAGAAACTATTAAAGAATTGTAGAAAATCACACTTTATATCTAGGACCTCCATTTATAAGAAATTGAAACAAGTATGCAGGAAGTTGAAAAGAAGGGAAAATGACATAATCAAAACATTCCCCCGTAGTTCAGAGTTGGCGGTCTCTACGTCAAAAGTATGTTCAAATGTTAAGTTGGGCAACAAAAGTCTCAACAAAGCGCCAAGCAGTGGCGAGTCAGGCACACCAGTTGTGTCAGCACCATGTCTTTCCAAAGAAATGATCTTTACAGAATCAAAGTGTCGTCCATGTGAGACACGTGAGAGACATTTGTATCCTTTCTGTAGTATTCCGGGCTCGTCGTGGAAGGTGTCAGCAACACAGAAAGTTGAAGCACACAGCAAAGCAAATCGCAGCTATGATAAGCAGAGAAATCATTGTAAAACAAGCAAAGCTGAAAAGTGCCCTACAGATGCCAATAAAGCCTCCCTTGACAACACCCCTGCACAAAATAGGCTGCCATGCACACGCGAAACCAAACCTGAAGACAGGAAAGAAGCTAGTCCTTGCCAAGCAAAAGATATCGTCACGAGCAAGACTTTTAGTAGCAAAAAACTACCGCCCACATCATCAAGCAGCTCCAGCTGCAGTTGGCCAAACACAAATTTCGCAAACTTCCTGGCACCGCCATGTTCTGAGGTACAAAAAGGTAGACGCAAGCCTAACGAACATGAACGTGAAGAAAACCCTGTAGCAAATTCTTCCAATCTCTGTGTATCTGTTGGGTACGACATCGATCTGCATGGCAGTGTGGGACTTAACGACGCTTCTCTGTACCGATCGTGTTACGACTGTTTGACTAGACGTCATGTTTGTCTTTCAAACTTCGGAGATAAGAAGCCGGATGTAAAAGACGCTCAAGCATGCGATAACAAAGGAAAGATAATATCTTGCCCATCCTGTTACACCAGAATTTCCCAAGCAAAGTGTAAATGCACATCAGTTTCTGCACAATCAAAAAATGTTATTTTGGACGGCCACGGGAACGCCAAAGCAAGACAAGAGAATGGCCAAAACAAAGCAATAGTCTCAAGTCATCTTTGTAGTGGCTTAAAGACTGAAAAGACCGCTTGCACAGACATAAATTGCAAGCCAAAAAAGGTTCAGAACTCTTTGGTGAAGCCGTCAGGTTTACCTCTATATCCCATGTCCGTCTCATGTTGTCCTGCTGCACTGCTATGTGCTACTTCTCAACCTGCTACTTCTCAACCTTCAAATTCACGACCTGCTACTTCACGACTTGCTAATTCACGACCTGCTACTTCACGACTTGCTAATTCACGACCTGCTACTTCGCGACTTGCTAATTCACGACCTGCTACTTCGCGACCTGTTACTTCGCAACCTGCATCGTCACCTCTGGAGTTATCACTACCTAGAAAATCGCTACCTTCATCATTAATCACTGCCACATTGCTACCAGCTCCGTCTCTTCAAGCAACACCGTTACTTGCAACTATGATACCTGCTACATCATTTCAAGTAGCTCAACATGCTGATTCGTTGTTGTGTCCTTCTTCCGTACCAACTGCGCCCGTATCCTCTTCATATCTTTCTCTTTCGTCCCAACCCACCTCATCTTTATCGGTAAGTGTGGAGACAATTTCTAAACTTTGTTTTGCTGGTTCTGAAAGTTCCTCTGGGAGATGCGAAGAGGTTTCTCGTCGAGGTCATAATATCAGCAGGTTGGTAAAATATTTGGCTATTCTTAGACGGAAGCTAAAAGAGCTTGAGAAGGCACTGGATGGAGAAGCACGATACACTGCCTACAAAAGAAGCCAACGGCAAAAAGGAAAGCAAAGAGAGTTGAAAAGAAAATGTGTTCGAAACACGAACGAGCAGTTGGCGGACTGGAGAACAAAAGATGTCAGTATACAGACTATATTGTAATCGAGTGGCTTTATGCCAGCAATTGAATGCACATTAGGCGTATTGTGATAAACCGCAAATCCAAAGGGTTGGAAATGTAATTGATCCTCTCCTTGTAAGCATTCACAATGACCTGATCAAGAGAGATCTTTTAGGGACACTTTGGCCAACATTTGCAACTGTCAATTGACTCTTAACAAAGTGAAAGAAAGCACTTCTTGTTTATCCTATTCTAAGAAGAGTCCAGAGCAGCTCGGTGTCAATACCAGTACCCTTTATGTCCGAAACGCCACCTGGGAAAGTTGTAACGGGCAAAGAAATACTTCATTTGTGACCCTTGCGGCAATACAAATCTTAGGGTCTTAAACACTTACCTGTCAAAACGCCCGGGCCGTATTAATGCATTCCACAAAATGCAATCATAAGAAGTCACATTAATTGTTGAATTAAATTCTCACTCAAAGGTACACTATCTTAGTTCCCATGGGGAGTTTTGAATGAAAAATAAAGGCTAGTCATTCCTTCAGGACTTATCAGTTGATTGAAACACTCCATCCTTTTTTTTCTTAAGTCATAATAAACTGAACATGATCGTGACAAATATTCTTTCTTCTGATTTTTTTTTCAATTAAGCCACGGAAAAGTATGTTGGAAGAAGCTGGTGCAACTTCCCATCGGTACTAAACATTTTTTACAAGGTTTGCTACTGTTTCTCTACTGTTGTTTTAAACTCTTTTTCATATTGACTCTGGTCTGTTTCTTGTTTTGATCTTGATTTTCAATTCCTCCCCCTTTTCATTTTTTGGGGACAGATTTTTTTTCCTTTATTTCTTTTTTTGTTGAAAAAAAAAGGGGGGGGGGGGGAGACACATTTTGGTTCAGAGGTAAATCAAAGGGGCCACAGGACAGTACATTCTGGGTAATAGGAGAAGAGTTGTTTAGGATACGAACCCAGGGCCTTCGCTTGTTGGAATATTCGTGATCAAAATCTACTGGATTTGTCAAATATTTTAAAAAATCAAGTAAGAAATCAGAAACATTGGGAACCTATTGCCTGTTCTGTCCGTAGTCTCCTCTCACGTTTTTTTTGTGTTTTTTGTCCTTGGTTTAGTTTAGTTGTTCTTTTTGTCGTTTTATTTCTGGAGAAGTTTTTACAAGAGACGAAAAGTCTTCTTTAAATAACGCTGTTATTCATAAATATCTGCGCTACGGATAAGGTGATACTTCAGTCTAAAATAGTGGTAAGGAATGAATCTGCGATATCGAGCAACTGCAATGATCACATTATGGTTTTGTTTTTGTAAAGTGTTTTGCGGCGCTCGCAACTGCATAAGGTCAAATGAGCGCGCGGGACACACCTAATATTTTCAGTTGGTAGGAAATTTTGAATTTTGCCCGGGTGGCGGCGAAGCCTACTCTAATCGATTTTAGACCACCAAGGGATCTTTAACATGCGCAACTTGCATACGGGCCCTCCGAGATTTTTTCGCCCTAGGCTAGGTATAGATCTTTCCTACCAGAAGATCAGGGGTGTGGCTTAAGACAGCAGTAAGAAGAAGCGAAGGAGTAGCAGTAGAAAGGCTGCAGAAAGAATCAGGAGCCCAGAGGAAGGGGCAAAGGAGGTGAGGGGGTGGGGGCAGAAAGAGGAGACGAAAGCAGACGACAGAACATTGCTAGAGAGCAGGAAATGAGGTGAAAGGAGACAAATTTAGAGAAGAAAATTTTTCGGTCGCTCCCCGGATTCGAACCCGGGACCTTTTCAATGAAAGGCCAACACCTTAATCTCTAGGCCACGAGAGCCCCCCATTATGGTTTATAATCAATGATAGATATAGAAATAATTGAATGAAAACTCCACAACATAAATAACAACTATACATTGGGGTTCAAAATAACAAAATAAAGACAGCAATGAATACTGTCTCAAACCTGAAACATTCTAATTAAATTTAAATTGTTAACTAGAAAAAAACAAAATGCCAAATGCTTGGGACTGAACTATAAAAAGCCTGACAAAACTAAAAGAACCACGCCTTCAAGTTGAAAACCACCCACCTCTTAATTGATTGAGCTAGACCTACATTATATTTTTCGCCGTTTGAAAGGGATGTCAGTGTTAATATAATTTATATCATTTAAATGCTCGATATTTTTTCTCCGACAGAGAAAATTGGCTTATTCATTAAGTTATTCCATTGTCATTGAACTTGAAGTAACGATTAAGATACGCTAAATACAGTACTTATTTCCGACAAAATAGGAACAAGCGACTTTCAAAATCCTAAAACAATTTTTTTTTTTTTAATGTGTTTTTTCGGGAACATTTTCTGAACCTGTCTCCAACTGCTGCAGTCATCAAAGCTGTAATTTCTAAACAAGGAGCTTTATTGGGAGAAAGCTAGCACAAGTAACTAGTCAAAGAAACACTCAGCTATGTGAAAATAGACATATGTATTTTACACAGAAGATTATGCTACGTTAGAACGGAACCACCACCACCCTCCCTAGGGCACACTAAATGTGATTACGCGTGTCCCAAAAAAGCTGTTAACAACAGTTTTAATTTGTTGCCTGTCCTAAAAAGAGTAGCAAGCAATTTTTTAAGTAAATTTAATTTCTGATAAGCTTATCGGGCTGTAGAGAAAGAAAATGGCAATTTCAGCTCAATACTAGTAAATACTACTACCATCAAAATTGTTACCGGAAGAACTTAGCCCACTATAGGAATGGAGGACCTTGCTTAACCCTATCCGTACGTCGTGTTTTACTATCGTATCCATACGACGTGGGGAACTCTGTGCCATCACTTTCAAAGAGAAAATTTCCTTGTTAATCCGATCGGTAGGCTACGCTTTGCATAGCAATCGGTCAAAATGATTTTTTGAGAAATAATGAAAGTTTCAAAGAGATCTTCGCACTCGAAGTTTTCTAAAATGTGAAGAATACAACCCCGGGGGTACAAAATTATCCCGGGGCGTACGGATTGGGTTAAAGAATGCCTAAGGTTTTCTACTTTTACATAAGCCTTGGGGGAAAGGAAAAGGGGGGGGGGGGCACATAGGCTGAGGAAGAGACAGGAACTCTCAAGCAGGTTTTGATGAATAAAATTAAAGCACTTTGTTCAAAGAGATGACAATAACAAAACAGAACGCGGGGCTCTCGTGGTCAAGAGGCACGGTGTTCGCCTCTCATTCAATAGTTCCAGGGTTCGAACCCTGGCAGCTACGGAAAATTTTCTTCTCTTAAAAATTTCTGCCTTTCACAACCTTTCCTCCTCTCTAACTATTTTCTGTTGTCTGCTTTCGTCTCCACTCCCATCCCCCTCTTTTTCACTTCGCCCCTTTCTTTGGGCTCCTGAATCTTTCTGCTGACTTTCTACTGCTACTCTTTGGCTCTTTTAGTGCTGTCTTTCAGCCACACCCCTGATCTTAGGATAGGTAAGATCTAACACCTAGCCTTCTTGGATACGAGCGAAACGTCCTATAGGTCTAGTGTGCAAGTTGCGCACGTTAAAAATCCCCTGGTGGTCTTTACTTCGATGAGAGTAGGCTTCGGCTTCTGCGCCAACTGGTCAAACTAAAAATGCTTGAACTTGATGTGTCCCGCGTGCTCATAATCATATAGTATGATAATACTATGATATAGCCTTATGCAGTTGCGAGCGCCGTAAAACAGAAACAAAAAACGCCCTCCCTCCCAAAAAAACCAACCCTCCCCTAAACACCAACCCACCCCCACCTCCCCTTTAAAAAACAATAACAACAACAGCAACAAACCAAAACCAGAACGCTTTCTAACGTCCTGATCAATAGCCTTATGTTACTGACAAATAACATTACAACGATTTGACCGCACTCTAGAGGGTAAAGTAGGTATAGTATAGTGGAGTTGCCAGCCACGACTGCGGGTGAACTGACTTTAACTGTGAGACTACATTATTTACAATAATATTAATTTATTCTTGTTGTGACTGCTTGAAAGGGTTACAGTGTGGCAGTGCCAGATCTTCTGGATAGCAGGGGTAGAAACTCTACATTTACAGATCACGAGCTGCCATTTTTTAGGTACCACACTGCGGTCATGTTCCTTGATCGCGCCGACGCGCTTTTCCCTTTCGTCAACCCGCAGCCACCTCCCAATCGTCAGCCACCCCCAACCTTTGACACTGGTCAAACTTCCATCTATTTATAGGTAGTTACCGGAACATGTATAGGTGAAGTGATGTGCCGTGATAGTCGCGATATATTATTTATTGAGATTGTTTTGGTCTCTCTTTACTCATCACCACGAGAATTTCTTGAAGTTTTTCCCTGGACTCTGCCTTTGCTAAAATCTCGAATCTAGATCTAGATCTAGATCTAGAGTTGTAATCTAGTGGCAGGTTGCAGATTTCTGTTGTTATCCAGTACATTCCAGAGATTAAATAAATTGGACTAGACTCTAGTAGTCGACTCTTCTTCTTCTACTTCTAAACCTTCGAGATTACAAAGGCCAAGCCTAGGCTTGTAAGGATTCGTTTTGTTAAAAATGTTGTTTAACACAAAGTCTATGAAGTTAGCAAACCTAACACATTGTTTTCTAACGAAATGAAGCTTAAATTGACTTTTATATTGTCAATAAGTGATCAAGTTTAATCACCTAATCATTTAAGTAAGGAAGTGGCTATCCTCGCCCGGGGTGAGAATAAAAACCTTACGATTGACCTCTCACCCCGGGTGAGACTTGCCAGCGTTGGCTATTCTCACCCAGTGTGAAACAAGACCTGTTTTTCCTAATTTCGAAATGCTTTCTATCGGTGTGGATGATCAAATTGACAACGGCAAAGAAAAAAATGACGTTATAGCACAAAAGTAAGCTAATTTGATCGTCTACAAAGATGCCATGGCTCTTTCACTTTTCGAATCGACCGAACTACGCGGGTCACCATTTTGTTTTGCCCGAAAGTTCTCGCAAGATCTACTCCTCCCCCTTCTCTCTCTCTCTCTCTCTCTCTCTCTCTCTCTCTCTCTCTCTCTCTCTCTGTCGGCAATTTATTAAATCTGCAACCTGCAATTAGATTACAACTAGATCTAGATTCGAGACTTTAGTAAAGGCAGAGTCCAGGGAAAAACATCAATTAAATTCGTGTGGTGCAGATGAGTAAAGAGAGACCAAAACAATCTCTCTATTGCGACTATCATTGCACATCACTTCGCCTAATACATGTTCCGGTAGATTTAACTACCTATAAATAGATGGAAGTCTGACCCGTGACAAAGGTTGGGGGTGGCTGACGATTCGGGAGGTGGCTGCGGGTTGACGAAAGGGAAAAGCGCCGCGCCGACGTTCAGTATCTCCAGCAGTGTTCCCTGAGTGCGTTGTTACATGCACGGGAGGGGCGCCTTGGTTGACTGTGTTTATTATTACACTGATGGGTGGGGCTAACTGTCGAAATAAAGAAATATTTTTTTAAGTTATGATATTTTAAAATGTACTTTTAGTATTATGTACAATACATGTATAACGTGTCGGTCTCCAAAACCCAGGCTGACAACTCTAATCTTTAAAAATATTCGTCTAATGAGATAAGGAAAAGCACAACAAATCATCTGCACTTTCGGTCACGGCACGTCAT